AATCCTTTTGATATAACATGTCGGGGACAGAACAAATATGGACATAGGTTAATTATCCATTAAAGATAATTAACCCACAGCTTTTCGCTCTTTTTTGGGGCGGATAAAAAGCGCAAGGGGAAGAGGCATAAGGAAGAAAGAAGAAAAGAAAGGAAAGGAGAGGGAGAGAGAGAGGGAGAGAGAGAGGGGAGAGAGAGAGAGAGCTAGAGAAAGACTGAGAGAAATAGAGTTGGGAGAAACAAAGAATTAAGGGAGTGAGGAAGAGTAAAAAAGGTGGAAAAATTTCAGAGAAGAGAAAAAAAATTGAAACTGACGGGAGTGGGTAGAGAGAGAGAGAGAGAGAGAGAGAGAGAGAGAGAGAGAGATAGTGAGATAGAGAAGAGAAGTGATGATAATGGAAAAATAGGGGCAAGAAAAAAAGAGAGTGAGAGAGAAAGAAAGAGACAAAGAGTTGGAGAGAAGCAAAGACTTAAGTGAGTGAGAGCCAGAGAAAGTAAATAAAATGGAAGAAGAAAAAGAACGTGGAAACAGTTTTCATAAGAGTGGGGACGTTGAAAGTAACCGGAATAGTCACACACACACACACACACACACACACAGAGAGAGAGAGAGGGGGGGGAGAAAGAGATGATGATAGTTAATGGCAAAAAGACCGAGAAAGGAAAAGAATGTTTGAAGGCGACATTAAGACATTAGAGTGAGAATTTGGAATTGAACCAAGAAAAGATGGAGGAAGAGATCGAAAGAGAAATATGAGGAGGAAGTTAACAAAATGATAGAAGATGAGAGAAAGGATGATGAAAAGAAAGTAAAAAAGAGAAAGGACGATGATAATGATGATGAAGAGGAGAAGGAGGAGAAAGACATACCTTTTCTCTTTCGCTTTCTCTTTCTATATATATTTGTAGTGGGCACTTCGGCGTGGTACAATATTTATAAAACTTGTCTTGCTAGAACAATTACGACTGAGTAGTGAATCCGATGCTCACTGAGTGCTACATACTTTCTGCCTTGTGTCCCATCTAACCTACGCTTAGTAAATCGCTATATATATAAGTAGTATATATTTGAAAAGAGATAAGGCTATGTTTCCGAAATCTATGCTAAGTCACTTGAACTTATAGAAATTAGGACATTGAATAGAACCGTTCTTTTATAAGACCGATTTTGGACTAAATATTCCTTTGGTTTTACAAAATTCAGATTAATCACATATACAATATGACAGATTTCATAATGTATGTCAGTCTTTTCACAATTAAATTGTTATTAGTCAAACGATGCTGGCAAAATTTTCAAGACATATGAGATTATCCTATGAATTTCAGATCATAATATTTGTGTTTATGAGAAATATTTACAATAATTTAATTGATGGTGTAGGGTTTTATTATGCTCCTCAAATGTTACACACACACACACACACACACACACACACACACACACACACATATATATATATATATATATATATATATATATATATATATATATATATATATATATATACAGAAAAGTCGTGAAGTCTAAGCAGTCAATTGCTGATACCTCCTGTCAATGAACTGAGCTGAGGACTCTCGGAGCGTCTGTCTACGAAAATCTGCTCAGGATGCTGAAGGTAACATCAATCAGCTAAGTGACAAAACTTTTACTTGTATTAATTCTCTCTCTTTCTCCCCCCCTTCCCCCGCTCTCTCTCTCTCTCTATATATATATGAATAAAATTTTGTTTTAAGGTTTGCTATATTTATAGGATTTAAGCGCTCAATTTCCCGTATGTAAACATGAGCAGTGTTGACGCATAGTCTAACATCGAATGACCGGAATCGGTTTCGTATTTGAACGCAATCTTCTGATTTGAAGATTAGGTTCAAGCATGAAGCACACACTAGGTGTTGAACTATGCGTCAACACTGATTATATATATATATATATATATATATATATATATATTTTATTTCAGCTTAAGCAGCATTAAATTTTCCATTTATTTTCCTGCTATTTGTGGCTATGGTATCCACGCATCGGGTTGGGGGTGCTGATAGTAAAAGTGAATTAATTTAGAGAAATCATATTTTTTTTACAAGACGTTACTTAATTTTCCATCATCTTCGTCTTAATCATCATCTTCAGCAGCAGCTGCAGAACTTTTTGGTCTTGAAGGCACTCTGCAAATCAATGCGATTTCTCATTTTCAGCAACTTTGTAAATAACTCTTAGCAAATCTCTCCACACACGCCTATCTTTTGATAATTCACAGAAAGGCTGCGAGTCTGCAAGCTTTTCAAAACTTTTGCGGGGAATGATGGAATTTTATTCATAGTTCTTTTAATGTTTTTCTTCAATGCCTATATTATTGGTGTTCATCCAATGTCGTTGGATGTTATTCTTTCATCAGATATTAATGACAAAACTATTTCCACAGCTATTAACTTGTGCTATCTAACTCCCATATTAATATCAAGTTTTTCTTTAATTTTGGTTTCCTGAAAGCAACATGCATTTATAAGTATCAAAATCTTGAGCTAATATTAATTCCTGCTTTTATTTTTTCACATGCCCTCTTATATTTAATATCCCAATAAAAAAAAAAGTCGTATGCGATTCGAAGTATTTACAAAGTTTTAAATAAGAATTTGTTAACTTTTAACGGTTGACAAGTGGAAGAGTCATTACTTTCTCCGCCAACATTTTAATTTTTTTTACTTGAAATTATTTAAAATCCGTGTTATGTTATGACGTCATCTAATTTAAAATTGTTCGTTTATGGGCATTAGATAATTATATAATCGAATTTTTGCTTTATGGATAGAAATGAATGCAAAACTAGTAATACTATTTTTTTAACACATTTCACCCCAAGCAACGCAATAAAGCCACTAAGACGCAAAGGGTTACCGAGTAAAAGAAATCGAGCAAATATTATTGAGAGAAAAGAATATCACCAAACGTTTCAAGAACAATGATATTCTATAACAGGTAAACAAGTTAACTCATTTGAGTGATGCGTTAGAAGAAACACCCTTTGTGGGAGTGATTTTGTTACACAAAAACATCCGCCCCAACGCTGCAAATGTAACACAACTATGTCTAATGCTACAAGGACAGAGCATTCTTCCACGTGTAATCTATTGTCCACACCTTACGATGATCACTTGTTTTCGCGACATGCGACCTACCTAGTCTCAGCCAGCGTCAGCGAGTTCAATAAATCGAAGAATTTTCTCGAAGAATTAATCGAATCAAACTTGATCTCTTTATTTCACCCCAAGCAAGACGATGAAGCCATTAATACGCAAAGGGGGGGGGGTTACACATAGTGAAAGAATCTGAGAAAAAAGGAAAGAGAGGATAATAAAAATCAGAATTCAAGAACACAAAAGATGACGATTGACGTTGCATTTAAATTTATTTTTAGATCGAAGTTGACAGGAAAGCAAGAATTCCACAAGCAAGAAGTGTGACAAGAGAAGCTGTTAGCATAGAACGGTTATATCTTGTAATTTCAACAGTAAACAAGACAAGACTTCATATGGCATAATGTCACGTAATATACTGATATAATAATGCTATGAATTTATGCAAATGAAGCATTTTTCTCCAAAGCTAATGGAAATATTTGCGCAGCGAGTACCTAATTTGTTCCTTCCATATCTCTGGATAGTTATACATTTATGTGCAGCGTGTCTTGGGCAAGTAAACCTGACGGTGTCCATCCATTTTTCAGGTCAAATACAGCCGATGTTCTCTAGCTTGAAGGCTCGTTGATTACCTCACTCCTTGGCTGTTAACTTAAGAATTGACAGCAGATACAGGGAGTAAAATGACATCGTTAATTTTGTGGTGACAACGAACACTTGTTGACACTTTTGTGATGTCAACGAATGCTCCTTGTCACTTTCGTAATGCTTGTTGTAGTAGAGACTTTGTAATTGCAGATACAACTATATTAACGCCATAGAACAATACTGGTAACAGACGCCTTCGAATATCACTCGCACTAATAGCACTTGGTCGATAACACTCGCTCGGAAAGTAACCACCGAATAGTGATCCGAATAGTAATCCGTATAGTGATGATATTCACTAATCGCCCCTCGTGGTCGGATGTGGCACAAGGCCGAGTTTATTGTGAGATTTCCGAGGCCGTAGACTCGCCCAAAAATTCCCCGTATACCCTGTAAAAACGGGGTCGGGTAGCTGTCATCCGAGACAAGACTCTGCCCTTCGACTTAGCCTTGTCTGGGGATCTATCTACAGTTACACACTTGCTTAATTGTCTCGTCTCTCTCTCTCACACACACGTATATATATATATATATATATATATATATATATATATATATTGGTAACAGACGCCTTCGAATATCACTCGCATTAATAGCACTTGCTCGATAACACTCGTTTGGAAAGTAACCACTGAATAGTGATCCGAATAGCGATCCGTATAATAATAGAGGATAGAATAGAAATGGTGATCAATTAGACACCATGCTAATTCACATATATGCGTTTCCTTTAAGGTCACGTGGTCTAATTATAAGAAATGTTATCACCTGTGTTTGCTCAATGGTGATCTGTGTTCAAAATGCAGTGTCGGCAGCGACACTTTATTCCTATGTAACAGTTAAGGCTACTGGTCCGGATAAAATCCAGTGATTGATTTTAAAATATCAATCGAGAGTTAACTCCAATCTTGGAAAAAACACTTTTTAACCGGTGCCTGAAGGAGAGATGCTTCCCAAGTCTGTTTAAGGTGTCAACTGTGTTTCATGATTTTAAGAATGCGGGTCAGCGCTCATCACCATCGCAATATCGACCCGTTAACCCCTTTAGTGTCATCAGCAAATTCTAGAGGCTATAATCAACAAGAAGGTTGTTGATCGACAGGAACAATCCCCCGAGTGATAATCAGCATGGATTTCGTTCTGTTAGAACTACGGCTGATATTTCAACTGTCATATTCACAGAATCACCGAAGCACAAGACAAATTCATCCC